ACAAATATCAGATGCTCCCCGCTCTGATAGCAATTTCTGAATGGACCATCCTTTGCATTAAGCTTTGTGAAACAGCTACTGGGTGCTTAGGAGCATTTTCCTAAATTTGTTGAGGTTGTCCAAATATGGATGAATGAAGTCATCTGACTCCCCCGCTGGAGTACAGCAAACTCAAGAGAAACGTTACAACTGAGAATTTGTGAATGAAGGTTTTCTGAAAAGCTGTTCACCCAAGTCCGTGACACACAAGCAGCTAGAAGACACTGATTTTTTCTTTTGGTCTCTTCCATAGGGATTTCCCGTGTTTTTTTTTCATTATTTAAACGTGAGATAGGAGTAGGCGTAAGACAGCCAGGTTCGGTTTCACAGGTTGGTTCTTTGTGTTAGTCAAAATCAAGGCAGAGTTACCACTAATTACAGTCAGGGACAAAACCCCCGTGTTCGTGTTTTGGTTCATTGCTTCATTGCGTTAGAAGCAAAGTGGCAGCAGCCCAACTTCAAAGCGAATGCGCGTTCAGAGGGACGACAGCACCACCCATGCAGCTGGTTTGAATGTGATGCCATGGGTGAGCTGGGTTTGTCTCCCTGTTGATTTCAGGGAGGAGTGGGAAGGTTACGGGGAAGGAAAAGAGACCTAAAGGATGATCCGCGGTGTCCCAAGGGTTGCGTATTTTGCTCGGAGCCAGGGAGAATTTACAGCCTTGCTCGTATAAGTGATCCTCCCTCCTCGCGGACCGTCAACGGGCTTTGAACGTGGTAGGTCCAGGACTGCAGCAGCCTCTGAGGCTGAGCTGAGAAGTAACTCCTTTAGCCAGGTGCTGAAGAGAAATGCCATGTGGACTCTGCCGATTCATTAATTACTTCAACAGAGTCATTTTTCTTCCTGACCAGCTTGCAAGCGACTGGGACAGTCCACCCCCTGGGGAAGACGAAATCACTCCCTCGAGCAACCTCCAGTCTTTAGTTCTTTTACCAAGACTTGCTTTGTTAAGCCAAGTTCAGAATTGAAGAGAGCATCCCACCTGCTCTGGGAGGTCCTCTGATCCCAGCAGTCCTTCCTGCCCAAGTGCCAGGGGGCTGGACCCAGTGATCTTGTAAGGTCCCTTCCAGCCCCTAACAACTACGATCCCAAACCAACCTGGTCATCTCATCTCACCCTTGTCTTCACCTGATACTTCTCCCCAGCCAGCCCAGACCTCCCTCCAAGGTCTTCCATCTCATGCTTGCAGCAAGACCCCTCTCCCTAGCTCTGTCTGTTCCTGTTTGAGAAGTGGGAAGCTCTCTGTGCCTCTTCCTCTATAGCTCGCGAGTAGGAGCAAATATTTGAGCTTTAGCTACAGGTGAAGGTCTCAAAGGCCAGAAGCAGAAGCTTTAGGAGCCAAGCATGAGCCCAAAGACTTAGGACCCTGCTTATAAGTGCATTGAGTAGCAAAGGAAAATTGACTCAGTCGTATACAACCAAAACTAACCTTTGCATCCAAAGCACATTTATTTCCGCTGAAGCTAATGTTCGTCACGTGATGTAACGATGATGTTAAGTTCAGGTCACTGCTCTTTTTTTGCAGTTCTCCATCCTGGACAAGACTGCGGTGTGATATTTCCACAGCCGATAACGTCCCCGTTACATCTCTTTGTAGATTTGAAGACGTGTTTGAAAGTATTTGAGATTTCTTTTTGGGTTGAGATTTCCTCCTTAGGGTGCCCTGTCCAAAAACTTAGAAAAAGAAGCTGCTCCTACCCAAAGAACCTTCTATTTTCAATTAAACAGAAAATAAAAATGCATTGCCACACTTTGCCTTGAAAAAAAAAAATGTAATTAATGGATGAATAATCAAGCATGGTGTTCAGTTTGGCCAACTGGAAATAAGAGGGGAATTAAAGTATTTTTAAGGAATATAGCCTCCCCCAGGAAATTATTCTTGTCAAAAAAGGCTGCCTCTTGATCTATTCCAAAAACTAACTAATAGTAACGAAGACAGCAGCAGCAGCAAAGCTTTTTCAAAGCAATTTGTAATTGTGGGGACCCAGTTTGAGAAGGCAGATTTTTCAGAAAGCAACAGCCACTCTGTAAGTATTTTCCTGACTTCTAGGCTAAAAATACAAGGGAGTATGCTCATGAGAGCCAGGGACACTGTCTTTTCCTTTCCCCTGAATCGGATGGTGAAATTTTAACAAAGGCTCCCAAGGGACATCCGCAGTACCTCTGTGCTACATGCTAACCCAAGACTAGCAAAATTTGACACAAGCCTGCCGCATCCTTAGCTTTTATCTGAAACGTTGATGTCTAGCATGTATCCGCGGGTGGAACAGGGCTGAAATAATGTGCAGAGTACTGCAGTCTTACACCTAAAAACAGGGTATATGTACATCTTTGCCCATACCCTGACCAGTATAAGTTGCCAGTTGGTATCCTTATAAAACATATGTGCAGTTAAAAAAACAACAACCCCAAAACAACCAAGCAATATTGTACTGCTGGAGAAATGCAGAGCAGTGTAGGGTTGATATTCTTCTTTTCCTACCTCTTTATTTTCCCTCTCTCGTTTCTCCTGTTTCCCCATAAAATACTCCTGCAACATGTAGAGCATAAGAATCAGTTCTCCAGCAGAGGCTACAGGCGGCTGTAGGATTCTGCATCTCCATTAGGGGCTCTTTCCAGAGGAAGTCATTTTCTTCTCCCTATAAATTATGCATCCGTGTTCATTTAAGATTCTGAAATGACGAACAGAACATAAAGGTGTTGCTAAGCATTGCTGCTCCTATAGAGCCGAATCCCTGGTGCTTTGCACAGACTTGAGCAGACCTGGTTGAGTTGAAACCCTATGCGTTGCTGTTGCAGCGTTTCTGCAGCTCTGAGAAGGGAATCCCTCTGATTTCCTGAACCTTAGCATTTGCATCCGTGTCCTTGTTGCTCTAAGGAGGCAGTGTGATGGGTAAGACAGCGATCTTTGCTCAGGGCAAGCTGGGGGAGCACGCTGTGATTTGCATAGGGCTTGAAGCTGGCCATCCTCTTGCAAGTGCTAATCCCTGTCTCTTAACTGGACTGCTTCTCCCTTCCCATTGCTCTTCATGCCCCGGTCACGTTCCCATGGCCCACAGACGTCTTCGTCTTCTCGGTCTTTCACTTTCCAGACGGCGCAAGATGTCCGTAGCTGCCGAGGCAGGATTCCCAGTGTCCTCACGCCCAGGGCCAGTAACGTGAGAGCTGAGATGTACTGGAGTAGAAACGTGAGAGGAGAAGCGTGATTGAGTCAGCCAAGTGGAAGTTGAGAGACATGTTCTGGTTTATGAGTTAAAATGCCTAATGCATGCAATTTGAGTGTCAGGTTTTTGGGTGCTCTTCCATTAAATATTTGTATGCTCAAAACTCAGATTTAGGGATCACTGTACTTCGCGGGTGGATGCTGTGGATTTTTCGATGTCTGGATACCGATTGATAGGCGTGTATTAATTTGAAACAAAAATGTTCTGTGTTTTTGCATGTGAAATACAGGTGGCATGCATACAATATTGTGGCTTAAAGTGGGAGGGGGGGTTCCTCGTTTTTGGGCTTGAAAATGCTTTTCATTTTTTTTCTGCCTCTCTAATGTATACGAGATGGGGCGGGAGAGTGTGTATAGTAGGTAGGGGATATATGATGTTGCAGTGTATTAAAAAGTTTGTATCACATGTTGCCTATTTTGATAAAGCTTTTCTGCCAAATCGCAGAATCAGGTTTTCTTATGTATTCTAGCTAACTAGAAGTAGCAACATGAAAACGTAAAAGAGAATTTCTGAAGTGCTGGTATAGATAAGGAAGTGTATGCCATTTTGTATACAAATGCACACATGCATCTAGATGGTTTGCTTTTTATAAAGTGCATTTATATTGGGGAAGGTGAGGGGGGAAAGATGTATTTTTTTTAAATTGCTTTGGGGACACACAGAATGAGAGACTGTTCATGAGGCCAGAAATTCAAAATCTAGAATCTATTTTTTTTTTTTTTTTTTTAAACTGGACAATTAGCATTTTTTAAACTGACTTGAATTCCCTCATGGAAATCTTATCTATTATAAACTACATTATGAAGAACATGCATAACTTAGATGGAAAGGTGTTTTTGGGATAGGATCAACCCTTCCAGGATTTCTGCAGGATCAAGGGGAGTAACGGTATGTTGATGATGGAGCAGGGAAGGGCTGAAATACTGAGCAGTCGGGTTTGAGGGTCTGACTCGATAAATCTCCACTTGCACTATTTTCATTTTGTGGTTAGGAGAAATAAATGCATTTGCTGTTGTGCGTTTTAAGGTAACGGCTTAAATCTGTCCAAGTCGTGTTGAAAGCAGTGGGAGTCACATGTTGACATAACTCAGGGAGACTATTTGCCCCTAACAGTTTTGCTGTAAAGAGTTGGTTGTTCAGTCCTAACCAAACTGACCCCAAGAGCTGAATTTCCTCTTTGAAGAAAGTAGGCGTCACGTGGTGTCTTTCTTTGTCAAAGTTTCCCTTTGGAGAGAGATTACTTTTTAAAAATGCAACAGCCACCCAAAAGTAACGCATGTATTAAAGCAGGTCATCCCTGCCTTTCATCACACATCTGGGTGATAGAAGTAATGAATTTTTTATTTTCTGCAGGGCTCACTCTAAATCTGACACAACATTGTGTGGGTGCACATATGTAAAAAGGCGACTAATTGAAATTCAAATGTAATGAGATGAAGCTTTGCTATTCACTGAGCCTGCCTTTGTTTTAGTCCTTGTATGCTCAGTGCTTCTAAACAATGCAACCCTTGCTTCTACTTCTGCATTCAACACGAATAACTTAAAAGGAAAGAAATCTTTCTAGTCCACTCCAGAAACGAAATCCAGTTTAAAAACCAGGACAGTTGCGCCTCCCCACCTCCTTTTTTTCTTCTTTGTTCTTTAATCAAGTTAAAAAGATTTTGATGGCATAAAAAAACAATCTTTCGGAGAAATCTGCTCTCTTTTGAACATGCAAATGTGTTTCTATTGCCTAGGTAACTATTATGGAACACCCAAGCCTCCCAGCCAACCCGTCGGTGGGGAAGTGATTACCACTGATGCTTTGCAAAACCTTCAGTCCGGCTCCAAGCAGTCGACTCCAAAACGAACCAAGTCTTACAATGATATGCAAAATGCTGGCATAGTGCATACAGAGAATGAGGATGAGGATGATGTTCCTGAAATGAGCAGTAGCTTTACAGGTAAAGCAGACTTCTTCTCCTCCCTCCAATGAGACGCATGGATTTTATTTCCCCCGCTTTTCTTGGCAGACTTCCTGAAAAGATGCCCCTTGGATTGAACCACGTTGTCTTTTTTCTTTTTTTGCCCCTTTCCAAAGTCTGTTCTCTGTCTACAATATATTTTTCCCAACTCACAAAATACTTAAAAATTATGGGGGAACACCTGGATAGTTATATATTTTCTCCCCAAAATGTTTAAGTATTTTGTGAGTTGGGAAAAATGCATTGTAGACATTTCTCCCTAGAAAGATCTACTTCTATCTCTTTTTTTTACACTCAAGGCAGCTGATTTTGCTAAATGAACAAACCTTATGATGGTTGCCAGTTGAGAGCATCATCTTGGAAGGCTATGTGGAATGAAGAAAGGCCAGAGAAACCCAAAAAAACCCACTGCACGCTTCCTGGTTTGGTATTGGTCATAAACGTGATGGTCCAGTTGTGATGCAGCATCCAAGGGAAGACCCTCACATTAGATGTCCTACCACCTTCTGCACTGGCAAAGATCTAGGGCACTGGTTCTCCACCTCTTTCAAGACTCAAGGGACCCCTTAATACCATGTCAGAATTTAACGGTGCTCTAAAAACGAACTTATTTTCTGAAGTGCTTACCTTCTGCCACCCTGAAAAGGATCTCATGGTGTCACAGGGCAGGCAGGGTGCCCCTGAGAGCCTGGCAGGGCTGGCACATGGTGCTGCTTGGTGGGGCAGATTGGAGAGCTTCGTCCCTTGAAGGAGGCAGTTGTGTCTGAAGGAGGTGGAAGTTGGGGGTGACAGTGGCTGTTGGCACAGTGGCTGGTGCCAGGTGATGGTGGCAGAAGGCAGGACTCTTTCATGCCCTGCTCTTTCCCCGGTCTGCTCCTGCAGCGGCTCCTCCAGGGGCTTGAATGCTGCTTGCCTCTTCTCGTCGGGCCCAGGGACTGCGGCACCCCTGACTGGAGCTTGCGGCACCCTGGTCGTCACCCCTCAATCTAAGGCAGCGGTTGCCAAACTCTGACACGTTGCACACCACCAATTTAAAATGATACAGCCTTGCTACCAGCAATTTTTGCAGTTCAGCCTTAAATACCACCAGGAAATTTTTCTCATATAAAGTAGCTATAATAAATCTGTTAAGGCATACCACAGACAGGTTGTCTGTGTACCGCCACAAATTGGGAACTGCTGAGCTAGGGTTTTTGAGTAAAGCTTTCCTTTTTTTTTTTGCTGCAGAGAACTCTTCAACACTTGTTAAATATTATGTAATATAATATATCTAATATATTATAGCATATATTGTATAATATATGTTAGATATTGTGTATATATATATATCTATGCACAGTGAGGAAAAATACTAGGCATATTATTATATGATGTATTATATCGTGTGTCCGTGTATATCTATATCTAGATATATCGGTATATATCTAGATAGCTATATATAGATGTACACACACATATCGATATATATCAATATATCTATATCCAGATATATTGATATATCTATCTATCTCTATATATCTATATCTATCTAGATATAGATATACACACACAATATATAATACATTGTATAATAATATGCCTAGTATTTGTCCTCGCTGTGCATTATAGAAAGAGGCAGCTACTAACCTGTCACAATAACATAATAGCCACCCGCATCATCTCCACCAAACAGGTGCAAATGAGCTTCTGTCCACCACCAACAAAAGACCGTCATGCACTTAGTTCATATCATCCACACCTGTGCTGGCCATATTAAAATCCTTCCTGTTCTGTGGGAGAGACCTGGCTCTGACTTGTTTGGCATGTTTTCACTAGCGTGAGTCGTGCACCGTGCAGATTGCTAGATTCTTAATCTTGCCAGTCTCTGCTTACAAACAGATAAAAGCTCTTGTGCTGGAGGCAGACGGTAAGGGTGTTGGCAGAGTCTTGAACTTTTTTTTTTTCCCCTGGTTTGGAAAATATATTTTTTTCCTTTAGTACCACTCACAAAAACAGCCAAACATCCTTGATTTGGGGTGACCAAGTCATGAAGCTGGGGCACTGCCACAGATTCCTAGACTTTTTAAGAAGCACAGCTGTCCTCACCAGACACAGAAGCGCCTAAAACATTTGCAAATGACTTGGGTGCTTTTGAAATCTCCCTGCACCTAGGATTTAGGGGCCCAGGCCTAAGGTGTGTGGACAAGCTGCTGTAGTTAAGGATGTGTGAAAAGCCTGCAGAGGTCAAACTCCACCGTCGTTTTGGACTGCTGCAGTCCAGGCATCCTCAGAATGATGCTCCTCCTTTGAAGACAAGCAAACACTGGTTCCTCCAGATGCTGAGCACCCCGCACCTGTCCCAGAGTCCCGACATCCCTGCGGGCAGGCACAATGTGGAACCGACTGGCTAAGCAGCAGCTCTGCAGAAAAGGACCTGGGGTGACAGTGGCCAGTGAGCTGGACATGAGTCAACAGTGTGCCCTTGTTGCAAAAAAGGCTAATGGCATCCTGGGCTGCGTTGGTAGGAGCATTGCCAGCAGATGGAGGGAAGCGAGTCTTCCCTCTCTTCTGCACTGGGGAGGCCACATCTGGAGTCCTGTGTCTAGCTGTGGGCCCCCCACTACAGAAAGGATGTGGACAAATTGGAGAGAGTCCAGTGGAGGGCAACAAAAATGCCTGAGGGGTTGGGTCGCATGACTTGTGAGGAGAGGCAGAGGGAACTGGGCTGATTTAGTGGAGAAGAGAAGACTGAAAAGGGATTGAATAGCAGCCTTCAACTCCCTGCAGGGGGGTTGCAAAGAAGATGGAGCTGGGCTGTTCTCAGTGGGGGCAGGTGACAGCAAGGAGCAATGGGCTCCAGTTGCAGCAAGGAAAGTTGAGGCTGGATATTAGGAAAACTTTCTCATGAGCAGGGTAGTAAAGCATTGCAACAGGTTACCCAGTGAGGTCGTACAGTCTTCATCCTTGGAGGTTTTAAGACCCAGTAGACAAAGCTGTGGCTGGGATGATGTAGTTGGGGCTGGTCCTGCTTTCAGCAGGGGGTTGGACTAGATGTGACCCCCTGAGGTCCTTCCAACCCTCATTTTCTGTGAGTCTAAGACTCTGCTATTGACTTTCTGTTGAACATGCTTAGATACAATAGCGATAAGCAGTAGTATAAAACCCTATAGATATACAAGGTGCAGGACAGGCAGTGTTATATGTGCTTCTAGCTATGTCCAGCAGAAATTGTCCTGTTCAGTTCTTTTAGAAACAAGAGATCTTATTCTCTGAAGCCCCAGTCCTGCAACCCTCTCAGTGGACCCTTGAACCACTCACAGTCCCATTGCTCTTGCGCGCAGCAGTTCGAAGGACTGGGGTTGGGAAGGAATAGCGGGACAACTCGGCAGTCTCTTTTCTCAGGGGCCCTGTGCATTCAAAGCGAAGCAAGTGTTTGCGAACTAAAACCAAATGCATGAAGAAATGAACAGGCCAGAAAAATGTGGGAGCAGCTCATTAACGCTTTCTATTTCTGTTGTTCTGCAGCAGACTCGGGCAACCCAGACGAGCACAATACGCAGAGTGTAAGAGAGACAGCACCGCAACCTGTGAATAATAGCCTCACCACCGTTCCCACCACGGAACCATCTCAGAACCTCCCCCAATACCTACCTCCTGCAGAGGATAACTTAGGTCCTCTACCTGAAAATTGGGAGATGGCCTATACCGAGAATGGAGAAGTCTATTTTATAGAGTAAAGCATATCTTTTTCTTGTTCGCGTTTTTTTTTCTCCCTCCCCTATATGGGTAACCCTGGAGATACAGAGATGGTGTCTGCATGTGTATTTCCTATGCACCGTTGCATATCAGAGCAAAAAATATCCTTGCCGGTTATAAACTGTTGTTGTGATACTCCTCCTACACACTCATCTAGTGATTGCATCTGCATCTAAACTTTTCCAGACTTCAGAAATATTTGGATTCACTAGGCTTGATGAGGGATTGTGGATTACAGAAAGGTAGCTGGACTCTCTTAATAGCACAATCAAGGAATGCAATCATAGTTTCAAGATCAGCAGGCAGTTTAAAAAAAAAAAAAGATCACAGGTTCAAGATCAACAGGTCAATTATTTTCTAGGCTGGGATGAAAGCTCCTAATTACCTGAGAGCTGAGTTCAGGAGCCTGCCTGCATGCATCTATTGAGATGGAAGGAAAAATCCCTCCTCTTGCAGGTTCAGCCTGTGGCAAAACCATGGAGCTAGCATCCTGCTCTGCTCATCAAAGACCAGGAGCCCAATTCAGTACTAATGTGCGAGGCATAACTCAAAGCAAAACTTGGCACGAGGTCTTTGAAAGAATCAAAAGGACATGATGATGATGATGATGTGGAATTTTTTTTGGTGTTTGTTTTTTTTTTTTTAATGACCGCGTTAGGCTGTTGGCAGTCTTCAAGCGCTACTAATATTGATTTCTTTTTCAGCCCATAAATAATATGCTCTGATTGTACTTAAATAGACTTATTCAGATGTGAGCAGTTTAATCAACAGAATGGGCTGGTGGGAGGGATTCTTCACCCAGCGTTTAGCTAGTCATTAGCGTTCAAATGGTGCTTGATACCAAAGGCTAAAACTGTAGCTGGCCAAGCAGGGTTTGGGCAAAGAAAAGGATAGTTTGGTTCTGAAGGTTTGCACAGTGCAGGACTGGGTACTGAGGACCTCTGTCTGCAGACTGAATATAGTGCACCCAGGTACGAAGTCGTTCCCTTGGCCTAGTACTTTGGATAACGTGTTAACTCGAACCCACTGAGCATCTCCTGCATGTTGTAGTTCGGTCTGTTTGTGATTTAGAAGAGTAATGCTAAAGGGTGGTAGTGAGAATGGCCCTACAATGGCTAGAGGTGAAGTTACCAGGGATCAGAGCTCATGGAAGAGGTGATATCTTTTATTAGACCAACTAGATTTTTGCAAAAAAAAAAATTATTTAATTGCAAGACTCTGGGCACAAGCACCCTTCCTCAGGTGTTACCAGGGAGGGATTCCTGGGTCTGCCTAGAAGAGCATCCCCCCTCCCTACTGCACAGGAGACAATCCCAGATGTAAGGGGGGAAAAGAGCAGGGTGGGAAGCATTGGGTGCTGTGGGGCCCCTGCTGCTCACAAAGACCTTGTATTGCTGTCGATTTGGCTATTCGCCAGAGGTATCTGAATCATGTCAGGAGCTGCACTGGTTTGTAAAACAAAATAGGTAACAACATCTTACCTATTGTACCTCCAGTCAAACTAAGGGGGGGTCATTATTATCTCCCACATGGCATTCAACCCTCAGTTATGTCTTGAGGGTGACTTAGTCCCTCTGCTTTCATTTTCCTGAAACACTTCTGGGGTGCAGAGTGCTGCATGGTATATAATGCACACAATCTTATAATGAGCTCAGGCCCTGGACTGCCAAGGAGGTGAACCTTTTATCATAAAGATTAAGGCGGGCAGGGGAATTAATACATTATAAAGTCTGTTCCTATTCACTAAAACTGACTTACAAATCTGTCCTTGTCTCAGTGTGTGTACTTGACTCAATGCTAACGCAATTTATACATGTTATGGAAAGAAGGGACAGGAGCTGGGCAAATCAGTCCAGAAGGAATAAAAGTAGCCAGCTCCTGTCGGAAGTTGCAGGTTCCAGGAGATGATCTCCATACTGACATGTGATTCACAGGTGGAAAAAGTTTGCAGATCCATGACATAGTAATTCCTGCAGCATACACAGGAATCTTTCCAGCTAATATCTATCGATCTAGACTAGACAGATAGATCCAGATATCTAGAACTATCTATCTATATAGATAGATATATAGATCTATATAGATTATCTACCTATAGATCGATATAGATATAGATGGATAGATATCTAATATAGATATCCAGCCATCTATATCTATATCGATCTATAGGGAGATATATTGATATAGATAGATCTATCTATCTAGATAGATATACTGATTTATCTAACTAGATAGATATATATTTCTCTCTCTCTCTCTCTCTCTTTATCTATATATAGATAAGTATTGATATATAGATATCTATATCAAACATTTATATATATAAATATATTTTAGTTATTTATGTGTGTGTGTGTGTAGCTGTGTATACATGTGTATACAATTCTCCGAACCTGCTGAAACAAAATTGTGATTCTATTTCTTCTGAATCAAAAAGATGCCTTCAGTTAAGCTGACCCTATAGTTCTCATTTATTAACAATGGTCATGTTTCCATTTCTGGTTTGCAGCCATAATACTAAAACAACATCTTGGCTAGACCCACGGTGCCTGAACAAACAGCAGAAGCCTCTAGAAGAATGTGAAGATGATGGTAAGAGACTGAAACTAGTCAAATAAAACTCTGTGCATTTGGTCTAATTTAGGTACATAGATTTTTGTGCCTCTCTCCCTCCCTTTGTCCCCTCCCCCAGCCCTTCTCCATGATTGCACAAGGGAAAAGAAAAAAACTGACAAACATGACGTGCATAGTGCTATCCTTTATGCAGATGAGTTTGTTATAAACTTGTGGCTTAAAAGCAGAGCAACCATTGTGATTTTCAAATTATCCTGCACCAGTGCTATAAGTAGGAGACCCCTACGTTTGTGCAAAAAAGGTTTAACTGTTCACCAATACTGAATGTCATACAGATCCCTCAAACAGGCATGCTAGCTTGGTTTCCCTTTGCACAGAGATACACTCTGAATGGTTCACTATGTTATACTGTGCTTAGGATGTTTTATGTCAGGGGAAGGCAACCTCTTCCAGCAGCAGGCCAAAGCCCTCCACTGCTGAATGCTGCTAAAGCCCCACATCCACAGGCCACATCCAGTGTTTCTGCAGGACAGATCTGGTCCATGGGCTGCAGGTTGCTGACCCATGTTTTATATGGATCCAAAGGACATTTATTATTTCCTTCTGTGGGTGGTATCAAAAGATAACGTGTTGCTTCACTTTTCAGTGTCAGATTCCAGGTAGTCTAGTTCATGTGGTGACCACTGCATACAAAAGATATTCGATATGATGGATTTTTATCACTGAATAGTTTGCACTGTTCTAATTTTGTATTCCTTGAGATGTTGCAAATGCAAGCCAATGTCCAATCTAAAGCAGCCAAATGAAAGGGGATGCTTTTATTTAAGTTCCTCTTCAAAAAAGACATTGAAAGTAACAAAACTTCAATACCAAAAACTGCAAACATAATAAGACAGGATTAGCATGACATTTGGGAAAACGTGCTGCAAAGTTTGGTCTAATGACCTTCAAGACAAAAATTATGGTAGTATTGTAACTTTTTAAACTTTTAACTGGCACAGTGCTAGCTCAAGAGAGAGAACTTGAGAGTTTTAATGCATGTGTGTTGGCACCATCATCCTAAAGTTCAGTCGGGCGTTGTGATTAGTCACTACCTCAAACGTCCTTTGGAGCAAGGTTCCTGTGAAATAGGGATGTTATTATAATTAGGAAAGAAGTGAGCACAAAGTTGTCCATTTTGGATCAGTTTTGAAAGTGACCTCTAAAACTGCTGCTACATTTTCCACGAGCAATTCTTTGACCTCCATATTTCCCCCCCCCCATCTGAATTTTGCACATCGTACTCAGCGTGAACTATGCATTCTTCTTTGATACCCAGGCAGCCAACTCACTTGTGCAAGTGCAAAATGCCAGGCTTTTGAGGGAACATGCAAAACATGGACAGAACGTGTGTGCGCTGTTTGTCCGTGCCTGCTAGGTAGTCCCTTTGAAATGTGGGAGCCTACTTTCCAGAGCCTGATTGTGCAAAACTAGGATTGAACCAGACGGAGATGTCTGCAGGACTCTGGACAAGAAGGTCCTTACGCCTGGGCTGTTCCTTTTGTGGGATAAGGATAAAAAAAATTGTTTCAGCAGGAAATCAGTGGCACAGCTTTCATAGTTTCATAGGCTTTATATAGGTGGAGCTCCTGGTCTGCAGGGAACAGCTTGTACTCTCTAAGCTTACCCTCTTTTTGGAGTTTAGCTTTATTAGCACATTAAAAAGCAACATCACAAAACAAAAATCCAGCAAAACATAAATCTCAGCCTCAGCTGGCTTGTGCCTGAAGCCAGACTTTTCCCAGAAGCATTTCCCCTGTCCTAGCTCCTGCTGACAGCAAGATTTGAGCTCCTCTAGTAGTCTAGTTGAAGTTAGGAAGAGGCATGTGCCATTGTGACTAAGCATGCATACTTGCACTTGCATACTATGTCAAGCCACAAGCCAACACGTCAGGGGGCCCCTACATCTCTGTTCAGGACCCTAGATTCTTCTGGATATAGAGAAATCTGATCCCCTTTTCAATTAAAAATTGCTGTCTGAACAGCCAAATTGGGATTATAAATATATAGCTGTGTAATAAGTTTTAATGAGTAGCAGTGCCTTTGCTCAGCAGCTTCTTACGTTTAGCTAATTTTATCTTCCCCACTTCTATTTGCTAACTAATGAGAATTTTTTAACAGCAACTCGTTAAATTATCATTTCACAGGTGCATGTAGTGTGCTGCACAGTTTTCGTTCGCTGTTCTGATATTTCTTTAGAATTCGCAAAAACTGTAGAGTTTGTCGGGGGTGGGGAAGCAGGCAGGCCTCAAAAAGGGTAAAATCGTCAAAGCCGTTTCTGTGTACACTTTATCCAGATTTACCAAATTCCAACCCAAAGCAGTTAAACCTTGATGTCATTTGTCCGAGTAGTTATGCTAAAGTCAATGGGCACCTATATACGTGCGGTGAGGCTGCTTTGACATGCTGTAATTACGGCATGTTAGAGTAGGCTCAACTAATTGAGTCCGCTGGAGCATGGTAATTACCGTGCTACAGCAGACTCCAGTGTCATGCGTATCAGCGTCCCTGTGCTGAAAAATGGTGGCAGGGATGCTTTAACTAAAGCTTGCTGCTATTTTTCAGTGTGGGGATGCTGATACACATGATGCTCTGGACACTTTAATTAAAGCAGCTCTTGGAGCTGCTCTAATTAAAGCACCTCCTTCTTCCCCCGACTCCTGGAGCACATGTATAAACGCCCTGTAAGACTACTTCCATTTGAAGCTGTATGTGTGTTTGTGTATGTATATGTGACTACTCCCATCTGAAGTTGTGTGTGTGTGTGTGTAGGCCTGGTTCCATGTACAATAAATGTTTTGGTGTTAGACATCTTTTCCAGCTTGTTTTGGATGCACTTGCCTTGCATCCTCCCCATGTTGGGGTCCCAGTCCCTGGAAGTCATCAGTAGTTTTCTGTTGACGACACTGTACAAAGAAATTGCCAATTAGCCTTTCACACTGCAATTTCCAGACAATAGCTCGGACGTACTCGAATGCGAACAGTTCATGGGTAAATTAAAACACGTCAACTATTTCTTAAGTGTCAAAAAATTCAACGGCAATTTTCTGGTCTTGTATTTTCTGTTTGTACCATTCATTAACATGGCTTACGCTTTTCTGTATGAAGTCCAAGTTTGTTTTGCCATCTGCATTCTAGTTTTGTCTTCACCTTTCATTTCCTGACTGCATTAGCATTGATAAGCTAAGTGATACCTTAATCAACTGTGTCATTGTTAACTGATGAAAATGGAGCTGCTAATGATAAACAGCGATGCTGAATATTGATGGCTTGCACATTTGAAACCGGCTCAGTAAAGATCTCGTAACGCCGCACCATCCAGTGGTGTCCCATTAAAAATAATGAAGTTCCACAGTGGGGGCTGGTACTTTTGTTTTGCAGCATTGGGGTCCAAATCTCCAATTCACTTAACCTCATGTCCCTAAGTTACTTCCAGTTTAAGGGTAAAGCCTTCCTCTCAAATCTGTACATTAATACTCAACTTTGGCTTTCTGGTAGATATGCTAACGTATATGTCTGAGAAGATGGCTTTGCAACAAAACATCACTTTATCACATCCCATTGTGTTGTGAAAGTAAACTGGTCAACATGATGATTATGACGGTGGAAGAACTGTATTTATGGTTTGCATCCAAATCCATAAATATTCTGGTCACTAAGCTGTGATGAAGCAAAAACTCGGCCTAGTCCTGTTCGAAATTGGTGTTGGTTCTGCTGTTGGCTGGAGGGGGTTTCTTGCTTGGTGCTGGTATCTGAAATTTTCTTTTAATGTTTTCTGTCTCGTTTACTGCTGTTCCCTTGGAGAAGAAGGGGTACACACGGAGGAACTGGACAGTGAACTAGGTAAATCATCCATCTCTCATTTTGCTGTTTGACTTCAACTGCACTGGTTTCAGCCTTCAATTGCTTAGCTTTCTCCTTTCTGTCATTTTGCATCTTTCAGGTTTGGTTTTTTTTGTTTTTGTTTTTTTTTTTTGCTTTTAATTTCATGGAGGCCTAAATCAGAAACGAAACTTCTCTGGCATTTGGAAGGAGGTGCTTTTTTTCCCTCTCTATGGCATGGAAACTAAAGCACGTCTCTCATGAACTGGGTGCTGAAGAGGAAAGATAGAAAAAGGCCTCAATCCTGAAAAGGCTTAAGAGCGTCTTTAGCTTTCTGCAGAGTGATTTAAACCCAGACCCTGTCGAGTCGCAAACGGGAGGGGAGGTTGCCATTGGCTTCAGTGGAGTTAGGAGTTCACCTCTAAATCCAGACCCATTGACTTCGAAGTTAAGGTTCAGCCCATAAGGACATCTAGGCAGGACTGGAGCCCAAGACATTTCTCCGCTTAGGGAAGATAGTGAAATTTCAAACAGTGGCTAAAAATATCTCCCCGAATGCTTTTGCTAAGCTTATAAATATAACAGCAGGAGTTTCTGCCTCGACCGTTCATTTTACAAATTAGCTCTTTTCAGATGCTCTGGTGGTGTGATATTTCCTGCATAGTTTGAAGAATGCTATCTTAATATCCAGTCTCCTTTAGCTGTGCGACCTGAGTCTCTGCTTCTGGCACAGAGAAAGGTTAGACTGTTGTTATTTCTCTTTAGCAAGCCCTAATCCACTTCAAAAGCTATAAGGCATAAATAGGCTGCACATGATTTTATTTTCCTTGGCTCTGTTAGGGCTATAAATTGCATTTATAGTTCATTGTTTTCTATGCCAGAGGACTACCTTACAGTGGAATTAATTTCTGATTTCCTTAATGACTTGAAAGTTAGACTTCATCCCACTTCTATGTGATGGATATGCCCAAAGCAGTCAATAACTATTGACTGGATTGCAAAAACTATATAAAATACTGTTCTTGTGGCTAGTGTGACTTGGGTAACGTTAAGGGCTGCATTTCTTTTAGTGCAGTACCGCAATGCAACCTAAATAGAATAATAATCATAAAATATAATAAATATAAAATGCTCTTATAAAATAACTGAATGCAACTCCCCTGCTTTGCACCCATCAGCCAGATAGATAGGGGGTGCTGGCAACCTTTCCATATGTGGTATAATATATATATGTTTCTCTTCATGGAGAGAGAAAGCATCTAGCTAGGAAACCATTAGTTGATAACCACAGTCCTAATTCTTCTTACTCAAGCCAGTTCTTAACTATCCTTTGATTTCAGTGGGACTAATCATGGAAGCAGAGGCAGATGTGTATTGTAGGGGCTTATGAGTTGCCTGCAAGTCAGGAAAGGAGTTTCAAGTCTGAAGTAGTTCAGGCAATTGCAGCAAGGTTATCAAGTGTCTAAACTTAGAAGCTAGTTCTCCACTCAAGCAAGAATACAGGTTGACTTATGCCAACAGGTTCATTTAACTAAAGTTTAATGTTTGTTTCCTAAATGTGAGAAAATTAAATCAAAGGAAGTATAAACAAGATAAACACAAAGGGTTTAATATGTAGTAATATAAATTATCCTGTTTTTGACCAAACAGAGCATTGTAGGACATAGAAGTGAAAACATCAGGGGCAAAATTGCACACTGTTATACGTGGGCAAGAATCCATCACCCGTTGTGAACACTAAGACCTGTAATTCTTTGTTTTATTGGAATAAATGAAGACTGAAATGTCAGCCACAGCTTTTGCCTGGCCTGATTCCTGTCTGTGTCATGTCTTTCACTGCACAGAAACTTTGGAAGACCTGCAGTGCTTTCACCAGCTGGGACTCCCATTCAAGTGTGTTCTTGTTAAAGCTCGTTTAAAGACTTCCAGGACTTGGCCCTTAGTTTTTTAGCTTCCTTTTTAATGTAGACATCCCCTTTTGTGGTTTGGAGAGGAACACCGATTTCCAGAGCATTCGTTTTATAAGCATGCAAATTAGATCTACTCATGAGACCTGGGTTTTCTTAGCCAAAAGTTAGCACTGGCTTGCATTTCGATGTTTATGTCTCAAGGAATCCAAAGATGCTAAAACACGATAAGCAGAAAAAGAAACCAGAATCGGAGGGGAAACCTGCCTTTTATTTGCAAATAAGAGACATGTGGAGCCAAAACCATGAAATTAATTTCATCTGATGTTCAGCCAATTCCTAACACAAACATCAACTTTGAGTAATTAGTCCATGTGTGTTTGTGTGGATTCTGTTCGCCTTCAGTCTGGAACTACTTCTGTCCTTATGGCAGCGTCTGTAAATACAGAACTGGAGAGTTACATTATTCTGATTAATGGGCCATTGTTTGATTGTATTGGCTAAGCAACTGATGCTGTTCATAAAAGTAAATCTTTGCTTTCCGTAACGAATAAACACAGATTACTTCCTAGTGGTTTTGTCATTTTAGCAGTAAGTGCTGCATTCGTGAAGAATTCTTTCTAATTAGGGTCTTTTAATAGACTGCAGATGAATGCATCTTAGAAGGGGTTGGATCTCTTTTTAATGTCACTTTTGTAGGATTTTAAGAGCAGGGCCCATCTAGTCTGTCTTTGTACAGAGCTTACCCACACTGGTGTCCCATCCCCAGTTGACGGGCACCACCATAATAAACTGGGGCACCATAGTTATGGGCATCGCCCTAATAACCATGTTTGTTGTTGCTAGTAAGGATGAGTGCTTCAGGACCTGAGCACAGTGGGAGCTTTGGGTTTGACTTTGGAACAAGTTCAGGCCCTCGAGTAATACGTACATTTAATATTTTTCTCAACTGCTTTGCCTGTTCCTCATTCACTGATTCTGCCTAAAGGACTGTACCCCTCCAGATCAGAAGTACTGCTGGCACAAAGTAGGTAGATAGGTGTCCAAGTGCTAATGCCATCTACAGAACTGTTTTTAGCAATTATGCTCATTTTAAAACATGGAAATAGCTGATTAGGGCAATCTATCAGATGCCTTCCTGTTTGTGCAGCAGCTGGCAGGATGGGACCCTGGTCCCGTTTGGGGCATTTGATTGCCACTGTAGAAATTTTGCTAAGTATTGAAATATAGTGAATATATAAAATATATAGTATATATTCACAGTTCCCATGAATGCTTAGCAGAAACATGCTTTCCCCCAACTAAAACATCCCCAGAAAGACACTGAAATTCCCTTAAACAAAAAAGGCAGTAATATTTCATAAATAATAGACAGCTGGCCACAATTGTCCTCTCTCCACAGGTTTGTTAGACCTACTGCTGGCACAAGCAAACGTTAATATTTGTACTCCGTAAACCGTGTGCTGCCATTCATCCAGATGGAAAGAAAGGTGGCCAAGGCTGTTCTCTTTCCCATTAACTGTATGATAAGTGAAAATATGGGCTTATATGGACTTCTGCCAGCCAGCTTGCAACTAGGGTGCCTGTCTGAAAAGCACGGATGTACGATATTAATATTTTTTTGTTTCCAGAACTGCCTGCTGGTTGGGAAAAGATCGAAGATCCCGTATATGGTGTCTACTATGTAGAGTAAGTGCTGTCGGGCATTTCTCGTTGGCATGTCATGTAGGGAAGAGCTTTTTCCACTGGAGTTTGGGCACCTCGCTGTCACTGTAGTTGCACGGTGGCTCTGTGCTGAGGGAAGCTGATGCTTCTACCCCTCCAGAAAAAACCCAAGAGCTAACTGAGCGTACTAGAAACAAGAAAAGGGTCTACCCTGATGGCTTTGGTAGCTTATAGTGACTGGCATCCAAGACCAGCCTAAAACTCAAGACGTGACCAGTTAAAAGTGCTCGGTCTTAAAGAGGGCACATCATCCCTTGATCTTCTGCACCCCCTAGCGTGTGCACGCAGGTGAGCATTTCAGGCTCGGACCTTCCTCCTCGCCCGGAGAGGAGTGCCAGACACACTCAAAATGTTTGCTGCAAGTGGGTTTCTCTGCAGGAAGAGGCCTGCTGTGACGGGAATGCTTGAAAACCTCAGGGCCTTGACACTCAGAGGCCTGGGCTCCTTAGCAAATGACTTGGCTGTTACTAAAGGCCCTCGTTAAAAAAGCTGGGGAACGAAGGATGCCTTTGTGAAGATGTAAGCGATTTTAGCAGAAATCTGTTTAATCAGGGCTGTAATGATTGAATGGTTAATTGAGCACTTTCCCCAGCATAGCAATAAGATCAAACTGCGCTCTCCGACAGCAGATTACCAATTCAAAATATATATTTTTTTTTTAAGGATTGAGACATGACAGTGTTTTTTTGAGCCAAGAACCTGCATTGTGTCGGCAAGAACGATGGGTTTAATGTAATTGTCACCAGCTTTGCAACAGCGTCTTCTTTCTCTAGATGTCAGGTCTCTCCTTTGGGAAATCAGAGATCGAGTTTTGTTTCATCGCTGACCCCGCAAAATGAATTTTTAATTATGTGTATACTCCTGTCTGTTAGGATGGCTTGTGATAGCCCTCAGAGTAGATGTGGCATACCCTTTCTGTCTGCTTTGGCTCATTTGTGACCCTACCATCTGTGCCTTGGGAAACGAGGTTAGCAGACGCATAATTAAGGCTTGACATTTATTCACCGAAGATATCGAGGATATTTTTCGGCTATTAAATGTTGCCGAGAGGCCTCTTGAGCATTTCTCATGCCACTCTGTGTCCGCGTGCCCCTCAATTGTGGGCCACTCCTTCCTGTTAAATTAAATAAGAAGCCAACAGCATGCGGCAGAAGTTTTTTTGCCTTAATATTTATCATCTGCCTCGACAAATGTGATATAGATCTGTTTCTGTTTCTTGCATGTACGCTTTAAATTAAAACCACCTGTGTAAAAGCAAGTGATGGTTTTATGAAAAAAGCTTAAACAATTTTTATGGATACATTAAAATTGTCAGTCTCTTATAGGATTCATGCATTTGTTTTCATTTGCTCACTGGATTAATTAAATCAGCAGTCTATCATCAGATGCATTTAATATCCATGTTGTGAATTAAGCGGAGAGATTTCTGAGCAGAACTCAGTAGTGAATGTATTGCAGTTACCTGCAAATTACCTTTTTTTTCATAAAAAAGCTGTGCAAAGGACTTTCAGACAGGCAGTGAAACGCATGTTCTCAACAGTGAGCTTTGCCTGGGATGCAAAGTTGGATTTTAACCAAATGCAGTTATCTTCAGGTAGATGCTTAAAGCCAGTGATACGCCAGATTCATAAGCAGGTATTGGCAAAATTGGATATAAGCTTTTTATTTTGGGATGCTAGGATTTTTAGGTTGGTTAAGTTTCAAACACAGAGATGCTACATGGCAGAGAGTATCTGGAAATCAGCCACGTGACTCATCAAAATCAGCCCAGGATTGCCTGTCTGAAATTCTCGAGATGCATTTTTCACCGCTTTTCAAACTGGCCTATTTTGCCACCTTTTCCTTGCATGGTTTGCTCATGTCTTCCTGCAGACCGGCATGGCAAAAGCACCATAGCTTTTCTTAACTCGGCTGCCCATTTTCCCAGCATTCAAACAACAGGTTCAGGATAACGTGGCTCTGCTGATAATCTCAGCTTGCACCTATTATCCAGAATGAATCTGGACTGCTGTACTTGTCCCGCATGAGCTTCGTTTTGGCAGAGTTTTTTTCTAAGGCTCCAAAAAATGGTTGACACCTGCAGAAAACAGAGCCCATCTCTGCTCAGCCTTGAGGTCAGTTTATTCTGTTCATTAAAAAAAAAAAAAAAATGTGTCTTCACAGCTCTGTTATGTTCATAAAAATTGAAGCCAAGTATTTGCAGTCTCACGAAGGTCGCTTTCTACCATGAAAGCAGCCAAATGAGCTTCAAGCTGCTCCACAGGGACAGCTGAGGATCCCCCTATGCTGGTTCAAACCAGGATTACTTAATGGAGGCTGATTCCAAATACTTTTTGTGCCAGGGTCATTCTGCTCAGCTCTACATTGTCTAGTCTGAATCGCAGCAAATACCTGATAGCCACCACATTTAGAGCTGTGCATTGATCAGGTAGCTGACAGATGTTACCAGCTTTTTTTAACTTCAGCAAGTCAGGGAATGGTTGCACCTCTGGGAATCTGATTAAAGCAGAGACGATGTAGGTCTGCCTTTTAACGTGTAATCAGACAGGGCATCCTTTCTGCCTTAATCTCATTTTTCCACAGATAAACTACTCCTTTATAGTATTTGAAAGAATTAGCCATCCCTTCTCAAGGCATCCGCATCCGATCACGGGGTTTCCTGAATAAGAGTTTTGGCACGAGTAGGTGGGCATGGCACTGTATGCCTTGCTGTGAGGGTTGTATTATTAGTAAGCTCTGGTCCTGTTCGTCGAGAGGACTTTTGCACCTGTCTGCTACCCAGGTTTGGCATGCCAAGTGTTTCCTAATTTACTTCTCTCCTCCTTGTCCAGCCACATCAACAGGAAGACACAATATGAGAATCCGGTTCTGGAAGCAAAAAGGAAGAAACAGCTTGAGCAGCAGCAACCAGCACCAGAAGGTTGGCACACGCCGAGAGCGCGACGCGTGCAATGTTTGCTAAATAGAACATGCTCTCCCTTGAATTGATCCTCCCATGTGGGCATACTTGTCCTCCATTAAAATACAGATATTGTCACCCTTCCCAGTTTTGAGAGAGGGTTGGTTGGTCTAATGACACACAAAGGACCACTGAGCCAGGTACTGTTATCAGAAGGCTGAATAGGACAAGGTAAAAGAGACCTTCGGAAATATTTGATTGCTTTAACGTAATGGCTTTGTGTCCCTGAAATTGGGAGAATTTCTTCTTTTTTTTTTACCTTTACTTCTCTCCCTTCCATTCTTAAAGGCTGACAGGCAACAGAGAAGGCTTGTTGGCTCCTTAGGCACAGTAAAAATCTACTTTTGAGAGCCTGAATCATGAATTTAATCAAGACGTGTTTATTGAATCTGTCTGGAGGAATGGAAAAAGGCAAGGGAAGAAGACAAAGGGCTAAGATTGCGTATGCATTCAAGAAAATCCCTCTATTTACTGTTTTATTAATAGTGGATCCTTTGGTGCTGCAAGCATGTGGTGACACCATGCCCAGTTTGATTATTCGGACGCATTTTTCAATTCTGAAAAACCATGTCACCTTACTATCGTATTGCAATGAAATAATCTCAAGCAGTGAAATGCTGCAGATATACGGATTAGCAACAGCCTCAGAACGCGTGGGACCCATGTGGCCCCATTTCTCAGTCTCTGTCCTCTCCCACCCATCCTCCTCACTCCTCAGGAGGGTTGAACTCACCCAAAGTGCATTGTTTTTGTTCCATTACATTTAGTTTTTTGTGTGCAGAAAGCTTTCCCCGCCACATAGAGTAACCTCTTTCAAATTGTGTGTTATGTGATGGGAGATGAACTTGAGGCACCTGTTTCTTCCTCCCAACGCTCCTGCCCTAACCCTCTGGCCATCCGTATCAGTACTACTGCTATGCATCAAGACAAGCAGGTGTATGGCCAGGTCGGATGGGATGCATGGTAAATATTTGCTCCACCCTGATGCAAACTATTTGAGGTCAACCCAGACTTCAATGGCAGAGACGGCTCTGGTGCATGACCTCAAGCTACTCACTTCACCTCTCTGTTTCCATTCCTAAATCTTTATCTTACCTGTTTCGACTGCCAGCTCTTTGGCTCTTGGTTTTATGCATGTACAATGCTGAGCAAAACGAGCCCTCTCTGTGCTACCACGAACAAAATAATGAATGACTTCTTGTCCTCGCTCTCTTTCCAGAGTGGACAGAAGAACACCCATCTCTCATGGCCCCAGCTGCTCCAAACCATGCTGCAAACAACCAGGAGGCTGTTCGGGAAGCTCCAGTACAAGGTAACAGCCAGCAAGGCTTTTCTCCTTATGATGATTTAAATGTTGCCATTAGACTTCCTTACAAAAACAACCCAAATACCCCATAACAGTATGGCAAGGCTAGAAATGCCCCTGTGCTCTGAATTTCTCTGATTTTGCAGAGGAAAATTGCAAAAATGCAGTGCAAATCATCCCACCGCAGGAGTGTTTTAGGGTGGGGGTGATGTGGAGACCATCGAAACATGGCTCTTCAGGGGTACGGTGGCATCCGGGGGGGTGCTGAGCTTCCACCAGAGAGTGTTGGTGCTCTGCGGGTGTCTCAGTAACAGAGGCCTGGGAAGGGCAAGCCTCCGAGCGCAGCATGAGGGGCATGCATATCACACTGCTGACTGAATGTTGCCGAGACCCTGGGTAGGGAGCCGTCCCCCGGCACAGCAGGAACACGCTGTCTGTGAGCATACACACGTGATGCTCAGGCATGTAAATCCTTATGCCTGTTAGGCAAGGGTATATGCAGAGCAGCTTTTGCCAAGAGATCTTCGGGTAGATGTGATATCTTTTATTAGACCAACTGGGAAAAAGTGCTGATTGCAAACACCCTTCTTTAGGCATTAAGAGATTCATTGGAGCAGAGGTTTGCAGCTGGGTGCCAGAGGGGACTGCTCTGGAGAGCAAGTGCATTGCCCTCCTCCTGGCTGCAGGTAAAAGAAGTTCAGGGGCCAGTAGGCTTCACTGCTCACACAGAGAGAGGCCTTCATTTGCTAGAGCTCCAGGGTTGCCAGTTCATCGCTATTGCCATAAATCATCACCTGCCTTGATAGCGTGCGGCAGATGTTACGCAGAGAGAGTGAGACAATTTCCGTAGCAGCCAAAACCCCAAGAAATTCCCTGTAGGCTATGAGAGCTGGTAATCCAGGTGGGCTATGCTAAGGGCAAGGAAGAGCTGAGGTGAGATCCAGGTTGGGCAGTGGGAGATGGGAATTGTTGTTACTTGCAGCACTCTGTCTCTCCAGCACCCACAAGAGAGCTGGACCATCAGGACCTTTTGTAGCACTGGGGAAAATGTAGCCCAATAGGACCAGTTTCTCCTTCTCTCAACTTCTCACCTATTTTAGGTATCATAAGAACAGGGCAAGAACTGCCCAAACTTCTAGGCCTTATAGTGCTTGGTGTAACAATTCGTCATAACCGTGAGTACAGTTAGGTGGCCTGGAGATGAGGCTATCGAGTTCCTTCCTCTCGCTGAAATCATTGGAAAACTTTCCAGTAACTGCAGCATTTTTGCTTTGCCACAGATTTTTAATTAAGCATGAGCAGCAAATCTGTGTTGATGTGGGGAGGAGGCAAGCAGGCAGCATAAAGCCAGTATTTGCATGCTCTGCAGATCACGTGCCCCAAAACCGTTCTCTCTGGCATGCACAATAAGAAAATATTGGGTCCAAGATAAGGCACTGTATTTTTTTGTTGTTGTCATGATGAGTTGAACTCTCCCCATAAATGACCCACATTGATCAGGATAAAAATAGGAAGATCTGGACCTGGTACGATGGGTCCAAGTGTTTGTCTGCTCACTGGGTCAGCCTGTGCGGCCTCACTCAGGGAATCCTTCCCAAAGCCTCGCTCAGGGAATCCTTCCCAGCTGCTTGTTCTTGATGCTGAAACAAATATCTTCCATTCCTGTCTCCAGCACAGCCCCTTTGCTGGTCCCTGCCCATTTCCAGCCCGTGGAGACCTGTGCAGTGCCTTTATGTAGCTGGAGCCTATAGATCAGGGGTGTTCAAATGCATCTCTCCTCCATGGGCCAGATGAGTGGTGTGGGGCTGGACCAGGCGAGCTGGATCTGGAGTGTCAGACTCTGCAGGAACTGCAACCCTTGTGCTTTCAAGCTGCACGTGGCTCTTACCTGCTTATGGCTGAACATAAGTTTGGAGTTGTCTCAGTACTTCCCCTCAGTTGTTCCCCCTCCTGTTTAAGGGGTGATGCGAAGTGAACACCCTCCTCTTCCTCCTTGCTTGGGTGCTCCCTGACACGTTTTCTCACCTGCATCTTCCCTCTCTCGGATGCATCGCTCCTGTAACAGCTTTTCCTTTGGAGGTGGGGGTAGCCAAATTGTCACCTCCTCCACTTGAGACTCTGCACGTCTGGGAGTGCAGCTCAAAGCCTGGATAACCAAAAGCTGCCAGTCAGCAGCGTGGCTGGCAGCTTTGTCGTGGAGCGTGTTAATTATGGCCTCTGTTGAATACGCAGAATCGTTTAAAATGTATGCGCCACCCCAAAAACACTGTAGCTGGCATACTAAAATGCAGCTATCGGTGTATTGCTTTCATATCCCTAGGTACCAGGTTCTTTTATTTCAATGAGGCTTTAGGTGAGTCCTGAACCTCACGCCCCGCTGACGTTTTTCAAATGGTAAATGCTCTCTGCAGGGCTGGGGGGCCGAGCTTCACACAGAGCCAGCAGCTCCCTTGAGACTTGCCTTTGCCATCCAAAGACTGCAGACGTTGTAGGAGTTTGCAAATGAGCATCGACCAACCTAGTTACAGTACTTGGAGGGTCTTGCCAGTCCTGGAGTTGTCACCAGGGAGCTTAATGGCACAGCCTTTTTTTTCCCTTCTGGGTTTGTGCCTTAACACGAGCGACAAGGACAAAGATGCTGCATTTTTAGATGCTCTTATTCTATCTCCCCAGAACCACTTGCCTTCTAGGGTGCCTTGGATCCATAGCAGGCTCCTGGAGATCACTGGTGACACTTCTCCACTACAACCAGTCTGGTCCAGTGGTTTCCGTGTGATCCATGCTACTGAGTATGGATAACAGTGTTGCATGTATGTCAGGCAGACTGCGGGGGGAAGCCCATGCTTTAAATATGATCTGAAGACCTTTGCAGTTTGGTGGTTAGTAATTATAGGCAGCAGGGTTGGGGATGGTACTGAAAAGGAGCAAGATCTTTTCAGAAAGCTTATTGGGGTTGGGGAGAACTGTATTGCGCCTGAGCTGCTACTTGGTAAATGGTACGCACTGTTACTCCGCTTAATTCGGAGGATGAGTATGGACATGGGACTAAGTCTCTGCCTTGCCGACCTTTACCCCAGGGTAAATTGTTCGTGTGCCCATTCCTTGACCCACGTATAGCACTTTACTCTGTGAGGGAAGTCACTGGAGTGGATAGCTAGCGAGAGTAAACTGTTTTGTTCCCGTCTGTGGCTGCACACCTCTGCGTCCATTAAACTCCTAGAAGAGCTTGGGGGAATTAAAATAGATCAGATTTTTTTTTCCCTGCATATTTATGGACTTTCAAAACTTTCTAAACAGGAAAACCCTTTTTTACACGGAATCCTTCTGAACTGAAAGGGAAGTTCATCCACACTAAGCTCAGGAAAAGCAGCAGGGGTTTCGGCTTCACAGTAGTCGGAGGGGATGAACCGGATGAATTTCTCCAAATCAAAAGTTTGGTGCTGGACGGTCCTGCGGCGCTGGATGGCAAAATGGAGACAGGTAACTGTGCTCGGGTGAAAAAGAAGAAGTAGTACTCCTGTTTGCATCTACAGAGCCTCTTTGTATCCTGGGGTAAGGATTGTTATAGCTCCATCTTGCAACAGCTAAGCGAATAGTTCATGGTCTTGTAGCAGGTCCTTGGCAGAGCTTAGGTAACAGATCCTGAAATCCCTGGTTCAGGACTTGGCGCTGAGATGCTGAACATTGGGAACGTAAGCAGCCACTTCTTGAGCCAGTAATTCAGGGAGCTGCCTGATGCTGCATTGCAATAATCACCTCAAGGTGCCCAGAAACAACGCAGGGTATGTCTGAGGGCTCTCATCTCTTCCCAACCCTTCCCTATCCACAACAGGATGGAAGAGGCACAAAAGGAGAGGCAAGTAACAGAAAGCATGGTTCCTGTGACCACAGTGCCTTCTAGGAATCATGCCTCTGTGTGCGTCTCCCATCCTTGGCTCCGGTCACGGGCAGCATTGCAGGAAGCAGGATACAGAAGAGCTCTAAGTTGGATGCTGTCTTTGCAGCCCTTTGCCTAGGCTCTGCCTGTGCAGCTGGGGAGACGTGGGCTGGGGGCTCTGGTGCTCAGGAGAGCATCCTGGCATGGTCTGGGCCACTGCCCAGGGCAGGGCAAGATAAAGGGCTTTTAGTGCAGATGTTGGGCAGGTTTGGATGTAGGAGCAACTAGCAATACTGATTACCCCTAATGTACTGAAGAAAATGGATCTGATGGTGGTATTTTGTGGATGCATGGCTCGCTGAGCTCTTCTTATCTGCCTCTCCTGTTGCATTTCCCCTGCGTAGGCATTCAGGCCCCCTCCCTTTTTTTTCCCTTCCTGCTGTATGTGCATTGTGTGTGCCCAGCACCACAGACAGCAAAGGGGCAATGCCTTTGCTGCAACTGCAACGAGGTGCCACCAACTCTTGGAGAGCTCCAGGCAGGTGGCTCAAGAGCCACAGGTGGAGCTCTGTTGTCTTCAGCACTGGCCTGGCCTCTCCGCTACGGCATAAACTCATCATAACTTCATTGATACTCAGGCGGGAGGACGGGGTCGGTGTGAGCCGTGCTTTACGGCACCATGTTTGTGTAGCTGGTAGTTGCAAGCCTTCTGTTTTATTCAGAGGATCTTCATTTTGCTTCAGTCATTTGTCAGCTGTAGTGGAGTGTATAGTAGTCAGTGCTGAGCATTGCAATAAATGTTAAATGGGCCTTATGTTGTCACGGTGTTTGAATTTTTTTTTCAAATGAGGCAAGTTTCACTTTTTTGCTCAAAAAAAAAATGTTGGTGCATGCAAAAAATGTATATGTGCAATAATTCTTTTGTGTGCAGATTGCCCTAAAATAGCTCTCGCTTGCCTGAGTACGACGACTTTGGTCCCTTTCTCTAACAGGCAGAAGTATGTAAATGCTATTACTGCTTAGCTGACTGTGCCAGTAGAAGTCTGTGTGCCCTGCTACACATTACAGATATTATGCAATTAACTGGTTAACCGCACAATAAATTTAGACCAACCACAAGTTCAATGTAATTATCACACAATTAACTGGTTAATCGCACAATAAAGTTAGACCAGCCACATGGGCCAAGTAATTGTCACACAGTCAAAACATCCATCTAGCTATAAAGAGAGCCAGCCAGCTATGAAGTTAGTGCTTGAACGTGTGACAACTCTGTAGCTGGTTTCTGTCTAGCTTTCATTTGAATGTGTAGCAGGATCCTGTGAGAGAGAAAGCAGAGTGGTACCATTGGACTGAATCTCACCTGAAGATAGGAATCTTTCAGCATTGAAAACAGCTGTTTTTTTTTTTTTAAAAAAAAAAAAAGCTTGGTGCATGAAAGCACTGAACTGAACGTGTGCATCTGTTTATTGTCTCTGTTTGCTCCGCAGGAGACGTTATAGTCAGCGTGAACGATACCTGTGTGCTGGGACACACACACGCTCAAGTGGTTAAAATCTTCCAGTCCATTCCAATCGGTGCCAGTGTGGACCTTGAACTGTGCCGCGGTTACCCTCTGCCCTTTGACCCCGATGACCCAAACACCAGCCTGGTGACGTCTGTGGCGATTTTGGATAAAGAGCCCATCATTGTGAATGGGCAGGAAAACTATGATTCTCCAGCAAGCCACAGTAGTAAAACAGGGAAAGTAAACGGCACAAAGGAGCCACGGCCAAGCAGTCCGACTGAGGTCTCTTCTAATGGATCCCATAGTTACCCCAATGATACTGTCTCTTTGGCTTCTTCTATAGCAACCCAACCTGAACTCATAACTGTGCATATTGTGAAAGGGCCCATGGGCTTTGGTTTTACTATAGCAGACAGTCCTGGCGGTGGGGGCCAAAGAGTGAAACAAATTGTGGACAGCCCACGATGCCGGGGCCTAAAAGAAGGGGATCTAATAGTTGAAGTCAACAAGAAGAATGTGCAGAGCCTCACTCACAACCAGGTGGTGGATATGCTGATTGAATGTCCTAAAGGGAGCGAAGTCACACTGCTGGTGCAGCGAGGAGGTAGGTTTTGTATCCCTTTTCAGTAATGCAAAAATGTTTTCTGTCCTAAATCTTTCTCTACGAACAGGCTTCGGGTGTACGGTGTAGAAAATGTCCTCCCCAAATGGGTTCCCGTCTTACTGTAATATAATTAATTATTTCCATCTCTTTGGGTTGCAGTGGACACATATATAGATATACACATGCATCAGATATATATGCATACAGTCTTTTTGGTAGAGAGCTTGTGATTGTTATGGTTACGTGACAGTTTCCATCGTCAATCCTGTTTTCAAATACTTGTGAAAACTGGCTTTGGAGGCTCAAATTTTCCTTGCATCTGTCATCAGAAAGCTCTGGGGACTTCTTAGGAGATTGACGGGGTCAAAAAATTAGCAATAGTCTATGCATGGGACATAGTGGGGGGTGAATGAATCTGGGAGAGGGTTTTTCACTGAGAACTCAAACATACCCAAGGACAGATACCCTCCAAATTATGAATATGCATAATCGTTGTGGGAGGGTTATCTTGTGGCTGGCCTTAGGGAGGGAATTAAAATCTCCAAAAGCAGTCAGCCATTGGAAAAATAACCTCTGAGCATGCTCCATTGCCACCTGTTCAGCATGTAGAAGGTAAGCTGCCCGTTGTGGTGTTGCAAAGCATGATGGTCTCAGCAAAGCCCGACAGGCTGGGACAGGCTTGGTTGAGCAATAGGCAGCCTCAAGCCCGTTTGCAGATCTATTAAAAAGAGACTGACCAAAGAGCGCCCATGCCGCAGCTTGGGAAGTTAAGGGTACAGTATAACCTCATAAGCCTGGCATGCTCGGGACCGAGCATCTGCCGGAAATTTGAAAACCTCTGGATTTTTTAAACCAGAGCGGCAGCCGGTCCCAGGGGTGGGAGGGGGAGAGGTAGCGGAGGCCGGTCCTGGAGAGGTGGTATAGGATGGTGGATGATGGTGGCAGCTGCCACGTGGAAGCTTCCCCCTCTGCTGCTCTGGGACCGGCTGCCGCTACTCCCCAATCTAGTGTAGTATTAAAAAGTGCCGGATTTTTGAGAATTCTGGATATCTGATATCTAGATTTATGAGGCTGTACTGTATATGAGCACAAGAGGGAAAGAGGAGAATAGGAGACAATTCACCGAAGTTTAGGGCTGGAAGGGACCTTGAGAGGTCATGGGGTCCAGCCCCCTGGATGATCCTGTGCTGATGAGAGCCGTGCACTAAAATAGCCGGTGATCCCACTTTGGGGTGACTGTCACTTCGCTCCAGCCTAATAATCAGGATCAAGCTCGGTGAGGTTCTGCACTTCTCATGATGCAGACCAGCGCTTCCCAAACGTTTCCTCAATATGACCCCTTTTATGACCCCTTTTCCTCAGAATGGCCCCTCACTCCCAACCCACAGCCCCCCACAACCCCAGGTGCCCTTCACTCCCCACCCACAGCCCCCTGCCCCCACCAGCAGTGCCCAAGCCCAGGTTGGCACCCCACTCCCCCGTGGGCAGCACTGCTGGAGAGGAGCCCAGGGGGTGGGGAGGATGCAGGCTTCCCGGTGCAGGCTTGCGGCTCCCCACCCTGCTGTCCTCCCCACTCCTGCAATGGGTCCCACCGGCTGGGCCGCAAGAGGTGGCTCCCGCCCGGAGCTGGTCTTGGCAGCAGCCCTGCTGTGAGCTCAGAAATGTCAGGAGGCATGTTTATTGTGACCCCATCCGCTGAAGTTGTGACCCCGTTTGGAGTTGCGACCCATAGTTTCACGCCCAATTAGAACATATTGACACCACAATGTAAGTGTTGCTTCTACCTACTCCTGTAAGGATACAAGTGTAGCAAAACCTTGAAACTTTAATTCGGTTTAATTTAGGGTTAAAGGTCCAGTGATTCAGCTACATTGTATTGCCATGGGAATAGGCAGATGCAATGGGGTGCATCACACCAGCCATCTGCCCTTTCTCCATCACCTCTGCAGCCCCGTGCAGGTCTCTGTTGTACCACGATGCAAGAGGAGTGATGTCTTTGAGGCCGTGGAGACCCAGGCTCTGCTCTGTCCCCTGCCTTGTGCACCACTTTGTATCCTGCGTGGATACGTTCAGATTTTGGCACCTGCTGGCAGGTTTGAGCAGCTAGAGCTAAAATGAGCTCTGAGTTCAGTCCAGGAATATGTGCTGAATGCTACCTCCCCGCCAACCGGTGGGCAGCAGTTGGCACAGAAATCCTTTTCTTAAACCTTTCCAAATGGTTTTCATTGTTATCTTCATCAAGCCAGCAACTGCTTGGAAATTTCCATGGGGGGCAAGCTGTTTCCAGAGGGTTGCACTGGATGCACAAACACATGGCCAGCCCATGGGGGGTGTCCAACATACTGCTGTACTTTGTTTCATTTTCATTTCAGTTCTGCAGTTGTTTCCTTTTAATCAGTCCCCTGATAAGCATCATGCTCACTTACCTGGAGCTGAGACAGAAATGTGCAAATGCGGGTCTCAGTAATATGTGAAGTGCTTTTTTCGCCTTGCAGCATCTCCTTGACTGGCAAGCCTGGGACCTGAATTTGTATATTTTTAGTTTTCATGTGCATGGGTGGAGCTGGGCATGTCTTTCCAAAGCAACTCTTGATGTGTAGTCTGCCTGAGCTGACACCTAGGAGAGACTGGGGACCCAGAGAGTGGGCACTCAGCATTTTCTGAGAATTGGACCCCTTGAAGGCATCTCAGATCGGTCTATCACTTCTGGAAATGCAGGCCAGCAATTCTAGTGCCTTGCGCTAGTAATGAATGCATGCTGTAGTAAAACGAATGCTTTCTTCCCACTCTGGAAGTGTTGACTATATTTTATATGTTAATAGTGAATCAAAAAGTAAGGACCTGAATACATTGAGAGGAGTCCTCTAGTTTTATACACTGGTTTCTGCAGAATCTGAGTGATTTTTGGATCACTCTTTTACTGAGAGCCTTTAAAATACACCATAAGCTTGGTAAATGATTTATGTGCTTGGTAGCTAGTTTCTACATCTACAGTCAGAAGAGGAACATCCGGTATTATTAATTTTCCTGGAAGAAAATAAATATATCTGTTACTATCCTGCATTAGTGATTTGAACCATAGTTAGCATGTAATCATCTTCCCTACAGCTCAGAGGTCCAGTGAGAAGGCTTGGTTAGGAAATAAAAGTGGAGAGTTTTAATGGGAAAGTAAATGATCAATCTCTGATCATATTGATGAATCTCCTTTCTGCCTTAATTCTTCCAGTATGCATATTGATCAACTGAGTGCACACAGATGGCTGAGAAGTTGCTAATAACTTCTCAGATAGTGTACCAATCACCTTCCTTCGTCTCTTGTTACAGGCCTAACTGCCTTGGCATTTGGACCTGATTGTAATGTACTTGCCATTTGTGCTGTTGTGGTCCGGTAGTTTGAAACAGTCATAGGCCTGACGCAGTAAATAATTGAAATGTGCTTTTCTCAACATCAGAATAACGTTATCCTGTGAAGCTGTTCATTAGAGCCTGGCAGAACGTGCAAAGGTGATAGTAGGCACAACCTTGAAAACATCCTTGGAGAAAAAGTTGCAGAGCGTACTTGGCTAGAAAGCAGATGAGATCTGATGCACTCAGACCCTTTCTACAGTAACTTTACCTTGCCCTATTTCTGCCCGTTCCTTTAGCAGAAGGACCGGCCTCAGACAAAGCGTCGCTATTTATTTTGATCCAATTCCAGAAATGAGCTCGGCTCCCGTTAGCAAGAAGCTTCTTCAAGTCTCTGGAAGTGGTTCTTGTTTGGGGTTTGGGGCTGGGTGCCCTTACCTCGTCTTCCCTCTGCTGTCCAGAGAGGAGAGGCCTGGGAGAGCCTGCCCCTTCTTTAATTCTCATAGCGTTTGCATTTATTCAGACCTCCAGTAATGCTGAAGCTGGTGCTCAGAGCTGTCCGTAACATTTGCCAGTAATGGTTTACTAATCAAGCAGACGAATATCAGAAAGAGATGTGCACAAGATGCAAAAAACTCAGTCGGCTCCAAGCCACTGGTGTTCTCCCAACAACTAGGTGTAATTGTTAAGATGCAAAGTGCGTAGCCTGGGAGAGAAGCCTGTGCAATATTTACTGCGACGTACCCTCAGATGAAGATTTGACTTCCTGTAAGTAGATAGTTTATGCCAACAAAGTCTTGCAGTTGCTTGTGGATGAGGGAAGGCAAGATGCTGTGTACCAAAGATAGGTCTGAAATTTTACCCTGGGTGCTCTGCTGCTGAAAAAACATCGCTACACCTGCGCTATCCAAAAGTTACTCCTAGGATTAGCACAAGCTGGGAGAAAAACGCTATTTAGGATTTGTTACATTCCACTACATCATTTGCAATTTTATGGAGCTGTGTGTAGGGCAGCACAAAAGCACTGGTCTGTTTTCCTTGTTCGTTCATCAAAGGATGCCACAAGTAAGTACACGCAAAAGTTCAAGAGTGTGTGTGTGTGTGTGCGCGCGCGCGTGTGTGCGTGCATGCACATGTGGCTGTGTGTGTTTGGGTGCTCACAAACATGTAGCTGACAATTGCATGAATTAGTTCAGTCTCAATAGTCTTATAGTGTTAATGTTAATAGGCAAGAGCAGAAGGCAAGTGTAGCTTTGTTTTAAATGTGTGTGACTGCACAGTTTCCTAGTAACACTGGAGTAGTCAAAGAAGCCAACAGATTGTCCCAGATTTGGTGTTTTGGAGCCAATTCGTGCAGTGAAATCCACTTTGTACGAAGGCCTTGTCTGTACATGGAACTTGCCTGGAGAAGCTATTGTGGGAATATCTCCCCATATGGATACCGTTCAGGGGGAAAAAACCCAAACCCAAAAAACTCATCTATAACAGAAGGGTAAATTCAATTCCTAAGCAGTGTAACTATTCTGGGATAAACATTTTATGCCAGAATAGGCTGTCCACATGGAGAGCTAATCCAGAGTAGTTTATTCTGCACTAGCTATTCTGGTCCGTTTTAGAACAACCTCAGGCTATAGCCCCTTGGGCAGATGCACAGA